TATCATCCTGCGGTCAGCTGCGTCTGCGAGCACAGTGAACTGTGCGAACGACTTGCATCCCACAAAAAAAAAAAAATACCAAAAATTGCGGAATCGTTTGCAGGTTTTGCAATTGCCATGCAAAAAATTGTCAGAGTATTATTTTTTTGTAAAAAAAATAAAATGTAGTACGTCCTGCGAGAATCTAATAAAACTATTATTTCGCCTCAACGGTAGAGTTTCTACTATTAAAATTATCACCAGTCGTTTGCAATTTAATTTCCAGTGCGTGTGAGGATCGCAAAATAGTCGAATTAGTTATATTTATTGAATAAATAATTATATTTATATACGAGAGTAAGTCGAGTCATCTTACTCCCACCCCAGGCCAGGGCGCATGCGCACTACACTCGAAATTCGAAATACCAGGCTCTGATTTTCAGGTTATGTTTGCGCATTTGTTGTCATTCTGCTATTTTGAAATTTTCTCTTTATTGACTATACTTTATCTAACCTCAAATAATTTAACCACTTGATTGTATATTTTTTAAATATAGAGTTGGAGTTTAAAGTCAATAGTAATACAAAAAATTACCCGACAACATGTGATTTGAGTGAAATGCGTGAATGATGTGGTTATTTTAAAATAATCTTTAATTTATCTTGATTCAATAAAAGCTCATAAAATGATATTTTCGTGATTGTGGGCATGCCAATGGAACAAGAAAAAATAGGTGCAGTACAACAGTTGGACAAAAAATTGATAAGTCTGGTGAAAGAGAGACCAGCGCTTTATGATCCCAGATACATCGAACAAGATAAAATAAGGGAGACCAAACAGGCTTTGTGGCATGAAATTTGCACACTCTTAGAAGGTATTTTTTCGTATCCATTTTGTTTTACTATTTCAGTTTTTAACTACATATCTAGTGATTATTTGTTTTTACTTTTCTAAAGGGCAATTGGATGCAAATACTGCCAAAGCTCGATGGAAATACTTGAGAGAGAGTTATATGAAAGCTAAACATAAAACAAAAATCAAAGAAGAAGTTGCCAAGCGATTTGGTACTCCGCTATTACAACCAAAACTTAGAAAACACTCTTTCAGATACCACGAACTCATGGAATTTCTAGAGGATTCCATACGTTACCAGTATGTGTGGAAAACCAAATTCATTGAAAGACATAAGCGATTTTTGAACGTATAATTTTTTTCTTAATTTTTTACCAACAGATCGGAGAAACTTGCACCAATCAAAGAACTGAGGAAAGTTCCAAAAGTTCCAAATATAATTAAAAGAGTGGTTCCAATAGCTCCAAAGCCTTCTGTACTACAAGTAAACAGTGCAGATTTACAAGCTAGCATGGTCGCTAATAACATTGATAATGTAGCGCCTTTTACACTTGTACATATACCATCTACATCATCTCCACAGAATTCTAATAGAAACGATTCTTCGACAAACAGTAATGGTGAGTGAAATATTTACACGATGTTTTTTAGTCTGGCTTAACTTTTGTCATTTTTTAAGTAAAAAATGTCGTAGGTGATGCCGCAGTTACTGATTATGACAAGATTTTCTTGGAATGTCTGCAAAAACCCATAGAGCAACCTTCACCAGTCGATGGTTTTTTAATTAGATTGGGAGAAGGGTTGAAAAAATTACCTTACCGAGAAAGATCCAAGCTCGAAATAGAGTTTTTACAACGGTTGTATGAAGTTGAAGAGCAGTTGGACAATTGTGATGAAATGTCGGAGGAAAAGATTGATCTTCAGTTATGAGTGTTAAAAGAAAAAAATTAATGGATATAAATATTTTAATTAAAGAATAAATTGTAAAAATTAAAAAATATTTATTCATTAAAAATAAGTTTTGTAAGTAAAACCGTGTTTTTTTTTGTTGGACTTCTACAACACTTACAACTTATAATTCAATTTTCCCTAATTACCTCTACTGTCTAAATAAAAGTAATATCACAGTAACTATTTGTAAAAAAAGTTGGGCTTACTTTTAGTAACTGTTTACAGTAAAAAATACACAGGAACACGATTGTTATTGCAAAGTAAAAAACTAGCACCATTGAGCGTTTTTTTTTAGGTCGAATTCCAGTCTTGTATTGTAATTGACGTTACTTTACAAAAAAGTTTTTTGAATTTTTCTCTTCCTTTCAATGCCTCATCACTTGGATCTTCAGCTTTCATAAATATATCAATGCAGCCTTGAAGGTAATCACTTGCATCTCTTTCTATGATGACGGCATACTGTCTTTCATTCATAGGCTTTGCTATATCTCTTTTCATGACAAAATTATGCAAACACACGACTGCTCTGATAATTTTAGTTGTATTAGAAGCGTTGGTGCAAAATTTCTTGTGAAATATTTTCCATTGACTAGTTAATATGTCAAATGCATTGCTGGCATACTTGCTGACATGATCAATTTTCTCATTATATACATCTTTCGCCAAATCCAAGGTATCGACAGATTCGTAAGAACGCAATATATTATTTGTAAGTGGGAAATCTCTGTTACCCACCAAGACATACGGCAAATCTGAATACTCTTCTGACAACTCCAGTGGAAAATCATAAACATTATCTTGCAAATCACGTCCAACTTCACTTTGCGAGAATACAATACTGTTTTCTGTCATGGATTCTTGGGTAATGCTTGATAAAGAAAAGCAACAATTGGCATCTATGATTCCGAAAAATGCCAAATTTCCCTTATCCTTACCTCTTGTTTCCGAATAAAAAGGCGTCTAAAAAAATTCAAAGTTTGTTTTTAATGCTCAGACCACTAAACGATTTGCACAATCATAATTAAAAATTTACCTGAAACAAAAGTTGCTTTCCAAAGATGGCACCCATGCAATGTGGAAAATTCAATTGCTTCTTGAATTCGTGTGCTTTCTCTTTCCACAGATCACTATTTGGTAATGGAAGAACTGCATCTTTTAAAACTTCCCAAATAACTTCACATGTTTCTGTAACGATCTTGGACACTGTGTTACAGGATGTTGCAAACTCGTAAGAAATCATGAGCATACTGTCCCCAGATGCCAAATATCTCAGACAAATTTGTAAACGCAGATGAGGAGGAATCGGAGTCTTCACCCATTTTTGTTTTTTAAGCTTGGATTCGACAAGTTTGAGTAGTTCATAATAGCCCTCAACATCCAGCCTTATGTGATCATAGTACTCGTCGTCAGGTACCGGATTTTTGCCAATCATAAGAGGGTAGTCACCCTCGACTCTTTTCTTCTTTGTGGGAACTTCACCTAAACCAGGAGCTGGTCTTTTGTTGGACAGGTTCGTTGCATTCAAAATATTACTACTTTCCTTTTCTTTTATTTTCTTGTACAACTTGTACAATCTTATCAAATGCAAGCGCTCTGCTTGCTGCTGGTGAGGCAGCTGGTGGTGAACCACGTTCTGCCACTCTCTCCATCTTTTCATAATTAAAGCCAAAGCTAGTTCTGATTTCATATCCGTCACTCTGAAATAAATTGACAATACGATATTTTGGAAGTTAAATAAAGTTTATTGTTTGTGAGGTACTCTCGTTACCTGTACTGTTATCCAGAATGAGTTTATGTTATTTGCGATTGAAATTAATTGAGATGTGTGTTTATTTTTGGCGAAAATTAAATTAACCAGTGGTTTGAGTTGTAGACGGATGATTGACTTTTGAGACGTGTCTCTCTTGAAAGTTTCTTAACCTTATAAGTAGTATCTTGTATCTTTTAAATATGTATCTGTGTGAAATGAAATGTATCTATATCTAAATCTAAGATGAGTAAGACCTACAAGTACACGCGCAGATTTTTTTCATGTATCAAATAATTAGAGGACAAGTGGAAATGTTAATTTATAAGAAATACTTGAAACTGCTTGATGAATTTGATAAATTTATTTTAAGGTACTAATATATTTTACACTCATTTTTTACATGTAACAATTCCTAATGTAGGTTCGGTATTTGTTTTTATTTTGTTCTCCATTAATAATGGAAGTTGTTAAGTACTGGATCAAAACGTCGTAATTTTAAAAGGTAAAAATTAATTAGATTAGGTTGCAACTGATGAGCGATACAGTTTAATTTAATGCTTTGGCAAACGAGCATACAGAATTATCATTAAAATGAATGCTTTACATAAAAAATTACACACACAATGGCCAAATCAGTTAAGACAACGCTTCAATTCATCAAAGGCAACGGATAAAACTTTTTAAATAATAGTAGAGTAACACTTATGGCAGTGTGTCTTCATTTAAAATTTATAATTGATTTTCAAAACAAAATAATACTACTAATGTCAACAACGGTATAAAATAAAAAAAAGTCACTTCAAGTTTGCAAATTGCAAGCTTCATTGACTCGATTAAAAGTAAATTGCTGATTAATCGTTTCACAATTTAACAATCAAAGATACTAGCCGACTACTTTTTTTTCATAATTATATATCAGTAGATCGAGATCATTACAGCTTATTAAACCCACACGCCGTGAGGGTTTTTGCTAGTAGGCACCGCAGTTTCCAATTGCCTGGGAGAGCCTATCATTTTTCTTGTACTTCCCGGCTTGTGAGCTCCTGCAACAAATGATAATCGTATTGCTCATTATTTAATTGCTTCCTGCAGAATAAAGCAAAAGTACTGATATTTACCTTCGAGCAAATGTTTTACTTGTTCGTCTTGACACGCGACTGTAAGGCTTTGTAAATTTGCTTCCTTCATATCGGTCACAAGCCTCTCTACTTGCAATTTTTTATCAACAATGGCAGCTTCGATATTTACAACTTCCTGCTTCAACGATTCGGCGCACTGTGTCGCCATTTCGGCAGAACGCTTGGCTTGCTCTACTTCGTTTTGGAGATGATCCATTTCGTTGATGATTTTTCTCTCTATCATCTGGTATTCATCGGTCTCGCGATTAATCTTATGCTGTTCCATCGCTAATTCTTCCATGACAAACCTGAAACACGACAATCATTAGCAAAAATTTGATCTAGAGACAAATCTTTAAATTTAATCCACCTGATTTTATTTTTGCACTGAAGCAATTCCGTTTCACAATTTGCGAGCTTAGATCGCAAGAGGGTGATTTCTGATTTAAGCGTTTTTTCTTGCTGCTTGACAATCTCGTTTTCTTCTTCCACGTGTGCTAATTCTTTCAACTAAAAATAAAAATTTACCTTAGCAACCTATGAAATACTGAAAAATTATAATTTTCTTTTGTTAAAAAATCGTTACTTGATCCTCTACGAGTTTATTAGACGATTCTATTCTATTCACTTCCTGCGTTATAAAGTCCATTTGATGCATTTGTTCTTTATTCTTGGTCTCCCAATACATAATTTCAGCATCATACTAAAATTATATGGTAATTAATATTTGCAAGTAAAGTGAGTATGGTTTTCATTTGAATGATTGAATCATACTTTAGTCAGATCAGCTTGTTGAGCATTGATTGTATCCCTTTGCCTATTGACTAGTCTGATCAGTTCAACATATCTTTGAGTATATGCGACCGTCACCATGTTTTGCCCTTGATTGGCAATGGGATTGACGTTTTGATTTTGTCCTTTTGTTTCTTGAAATTCCTGAAAGTGCATGAGTACATAAGATATTTCGCCACGTGAAAAACCGTGAAAGTTCAATAATGATACAAAACATTTACAAACCTGAATAAGATTTCTTTTGGACTTGGCGGGATTGTTGGGTGACATTTGTTCTTTATAAAGATGAGGACTACATCCGCTACTCGTGTTACTTGTGTTTGGTAAGTACTGCGACCTTCCAGGGCTGTTTAAGTTAGGCGGCGGTGGATCGCGATAAGGAGGAAGAGTTCTCTGTGGTGGTGACGTTGGTCCGGGAGGATCTCTGTAAGGAGGCACTTCACGTATTTTCTTTTGCGAGGCATAAATACTTTGTGCTGGAATAAAAATATTGGTAAATTGTCGTAAGTCAATAAGACAAGTTATTAAGTAATTTCCGGAAGTATTTCGGTACATCGTTAACTAATTACCATCGATATTTGCAGATCTGGTAGGAGACTGGGCAAGTCTTTGAGACGTTTTTCTTCCTCCAAAGTCTTTTGATTTAAGTTGTGGAGTAGGTTGAACTATGGCAACATTTTCCATTTGGATCTGTTGGAAAAAAGAATCAATAAATTCCGTGCTCAGGAAATAAAATTTAAAAAATTATATTAAAAATGTAATTGATCGTACCTCGGGGCTAATATCACTCATATTTCCGTGAAGTCCGCTAAACGTTAAGGACTTCCTAATATCATGATTTCTTTCTAAACTACTTTGAATATCGTCAAAGTCTGATCCTATTGTCGGGCTACCCTTAACACTGTCGTAAAAACTATTATTCAATGAGTGCTCTGCCAAAGGATTTTGAATCCCGTTGGCTCTATTTGTATGTACAGGTCTAGGATTCGCAGAAGCGGTATTTTTATTACCCTCAGGCGTAGATTTTCGGAGTATCAACTGTACCTCTGAGGCGTATTCGCCCCATTTCATTAATATCTGCAATTAAAATTTGGTTACTTTTAGACACACATTTTAAATAACGATTAATTATACATGCCAAACGACAAACATTTTTCCATGAATCATGAATTTATCAGCTAATAACACAGGATTACATGGTTTATCAAACACTAATCTTTTTAATATGTAAAAAATTATCAAATTTTTTAATGAACTATTACTTATTTCAAAATATATAACCAAAGCAAGTAATTACCAATAACTCGAGGATTAAAAAACAAAACTTAGTTGTTAACGAAAGACAATTTTTCAGCAAAAAAGAAAAATAAGTTCTTGAAATCGAATCTTTAACTGCTCTACAGCAGCAAAATATGAATTTGGCAAAAGACTAAGTATCTATTAATAATCTTCTGCGTTCCACCCCCCAACTGGAGTCTAAATATAAGCCATTTGAAAAAAATGGTAGATTGCCAAAACAGTTTTAAATACCTTGAGAGGATTCTCATACGGAGCAAGCAGACGTTCGTTGGTCCTCCATCGTTCCACCAAGGTGAATCTGCCAGTTTGAGCTGTCGCATGTGCAAGTGCGTACACCACATCCTAGAACGAAGAAAAAGAGGGTCAAAACAAATCAAAATCCAGTCATTGTGTCGTTCAGTGGACAAAAACACAACAATGTAAGGCGGTCAAACATCACAAACAACGAACCTGGCAAGTGGTAGTCTCGGTAACCCCGCAGACGATGCGCTGTATACCCTCGACCCACACTTTCAGCTCCATATTATTGTTGTCACGCTAATATTCCGTGGAGTCACATCGATAACGAAGACGATGCCATTGCACTTAAACAACAAATCGCCTGTGCCTCCGACGAGCAACCAAACGTACGAACCCCCTAGGTACTACCTAAATTAAATACCTAGGTATCAACAGTACATACATCAGCCCATTTGGAGCGAGAGAGTTTCCGGATGCACTTCCAAGCACGACATTTGTGACGGTTTTTTTTTTTTGTCTCTGGTGAGTTATGGATCGATTGACAGTGTTTTTTTTTCCAGAAACTAAAACCTTTTCGCTGCAGTGTCACCCAGGAGTGGTGGCCAACCCTTTGGTCGTCACTTGCAATGCAAACGGATGTAGTAGTCTCCGTCTGCTGCAAAATCAACTAGATAGATGAGCTCTCGCTCTCGCGAGGGACGCCCTCCATACACTTGGTGAAATCTTTATTTATTCGGCTTACACCCTTGCCTATTGTAATTAAGCTGCACACTCCAATTTTTTACTACTACAAATTAGGTAATACTTATAAAAGGCTAATAGAGGCTCTCACGGATTAGTTCTGTACACTTTTTTTTTTACACAGAGTGTGTAGAGTAAGTACGCAGTTTTTTATTTGGATACGAGAATACGATATGCAGGGCGGGGGCGTGTATGTATGTAGAAGTCAGGCATAAGAGGAAGAGAGTCGCAGAGAGCCATTTCGCCATTTGTAGGTGCCCATAGGGATTCATGAATCCCTAAAAATGGTGACAGTGGAGACTGGAGAGAAAAACACTTGCAGCTGCTGAATTGTTGGTATACTCTGTTTTGATCTTCTCTATGCTTATACCCTCAAGTAGGTTACCTACATTGTATAAGGTATTTAAAAAAAAGTAATGTGTATGACAACGTGACATTGTGACAAGTACACTTAACACAATCTTCACATAAAATGCACTTTTAATAGTTTTAATCTGTTACGAGTTACGAATCTGTGTGGTAACCACAGACATACAAGTAATTATTCTATAGAAATTTTGAAAAATTGTTTAATACTTTGAAAATATTTAAAAAAAAAATTTTTTTTGTCCGNTATTGTCCGAGCGCATCTTCTGTAGGTTAACTCGCCTATCCATACGCTCCAGCCTCAGCTTTAGCTGCAACAAAAATTAAAAACAATCAACGTTACGTTCTGTCATTTTTATCGATTTTTTTGAATACTTTAAAAATCTTTTCCATTCCATGATATATATCTTTTTAATTCTAGATATTATAATCAGCAGTATATACACAGTACAGTGAGGCAGATCTAAAAGTAAAATTGATTTCATATCTTTTTGCCTGAAAAAGGTAAACGGGGTGATATTCGCTGATAACAGTTATTTCAGATAACAATTGCCGTTGAGAAAAAAAATTTGGATTTGCGTTGTTTGCAACGTCAGAAATATTTAAATGCCACGTATATGTACAATGTGTCTCTAGAAATAGAGAAAGGGGATGCTTTATCGTCGCATTAATCGAGTACTTGCGACGAAACGTGTTGCAATGTGTCTCTAGAAATAGAGAAAGGGGATGCTTTATCGTCGCATTAATCGAGTACTTGCGACGAAACGTGTTTTGAATAAATTATAAGCTTATCACTCAACACTTCTTCACTCATAGTTCAAAGTCGTGTCATTCAAGTGAACTTTTTTTTTCAATTCCTCTGAAAAACGGTTAATTACATGGTAATTACACCAGTTACATCAGGTTCACACAATACACACAAATATACTTACATGACGAGTACTTCATATTATATGCAAGAAAATTCACGAGCATTAAATCGGAATCAAGCGTGTCATGAATGTATTATTTTTGTTTGACGAATTGAAATTGCAACTACAGTGTACTTGCCGTTCATCAAGTTCTCTAGCTTGAAGAGCTCACACTTGTTACACACATCATATTTGTCTTTCCGTATTTTTAATTAAACGAGTTACCGCTAAACAAGACACAGAATTTGTAAAAAATAACTACGTGCGTTCATGTTCACTCGATCCTGACAGTAACATCACAGCATTCTGTCTAACAGAATGTTTATTATACTATTCTTAGTTCTTTTCTTTCACGCTCTTAATTAGACATTGGAAGGCTCTCGCTTATTCGTTCATCATCTTTTTTTTTAAAGACGTTTTCTTGACTCTACCTATGATTTCTTTTCCATTGCATGAAATTTGAAAAAAAATTTATTGTAGTAAAAAAAGATTTTATTCTCATTCAATTTTGAAGAATGGGCAATTGAGTTAATGCTAGCATATGTATATAAATGCCGCTAAATGATGTTGATGAATAAGTAGGCATACATGTATGGTTTTTTGTAGGCGCATGACTAAAAAATATAAATAAAAAATTTTTTTTTTAAACTATCGCGCGTAGTATCAAAATATAATGAGATGAAAAATGAAACTACGTTCGTGGATTTGTAGTTAATAAAAGGAATCGTAAAATACATACTTATTTAACATAGGCCTAGTTTTATGCATAATTCGTTTTTTTGTGACGATCAATGGCGTGATTTTCTTTAACGAGAGAAGATGAATTTACAAAGATTTGTCAATAGACACTACACATTAATTTTTTTTAAATAACTCTACATTTTATACAAAGTTTATTTTTCATTTTCATAGCAAAATCAAGATATGATAATTGTTGATTTTTTTCATCTTTCATTAGACAATTATTCACCAAATCTTATAAAGTACTGTACAAATACAAAAAATAATCACGGGATAAAACAACACAACGTAACACTGGTTACACGTAAAGAATAGAAAAAGAATATATCAGCCTATTGTCTCACATGACACGTTCCAATAAACTTTTAAAGGAAATCAAAATAATTGTTTTTTTTTGCGTTCTACAATTTGTCTTTCGAAAAGCGTAACTTAGAAAAAAGTTTAAAAAATATAAAGAGGTCTTTGGTGCCCAATGATATGCAGTTGGGGGATACAACGCACTCGGGTTTACTTTAAAAAATGCACATCCTATGGGCCGTTGAGAAAAATAGTCAACGACAATAAAAAAAAGTCTTTTCTGCTTGAGTTAAAATCACTTTTGTACTTGCTTAAAAAAAATTATCTTCTAGATGATTTTCTTCTTCTGCTATTTAATCGCTTGGGCCGTCGGGTCTTCAGTTTTGAGTTGACCAGCCAAGGTAAGGTAAAATCACTGAAAATGCGAATAAATAATTTTTAAAGTGATTTTCTAAAAGTATTCACGTGATGTCTGTCAAATTTACCTTGCCGTATAACTAGGAATGGCGGCTCCAAATGCCGAAACAGGTAATATCGTATCAACCTGAATGCTCTGTATTTGCTCAACCTCTGGCCACAGTGTCGTTATTTGCTCATCTTCTAGAGAAGCTAAACACGGTCCAGGATGATTCAAGTTGTAACAAGCAGAGTGATGGCTTTGCCTTTCTTGCCTTTGCTTCAACTTTTCTATGTGCCTCTGTTCTCTGTAAAAATAGAAATTTTATTTCTAATAAGGTAATCCAGTCATATGTTTGGTATTTAAAAATTGGTGTTAAATATATTTTAAAGTTATACCTTATCCTCTGGACGTCCCATCTTTTACGCCGTCTTTCATCGTTTTCTAGCTTTAAATGCCTTTTATTAAAAATCTCGTCATCCAAGTTTTCTGTTCCCTCCATTGTGTAGCAGCTCGTATAAACTTTTACCCTCCACATAGGAACTTCCAAGTTGGATGACGCACTGTCAGATGCGGTCCGATCTTTGAGACTTAATGCAAAATTTGAATTCCCAATGGCTGTGTAATAGTGCTCTTCCGTGGTTAGAAAAGACTCTCTTCTGGTTAGAGATTTGCTTTTCTTTTCTAATTTTTTGAAATTCTCAAGACTGGGCCCTTTGCCGCCCTGTAAGTTGAATAGTATAAAATTAAAAAATTTATCATAAACTAAAAACTTTACAATACACAAAGTAAAATTCATAAACGGGTAAAATCGTACAAAGTACAAAGCAAGCAGAAAATATTAGTGTATGCCAAATGCATTATAAATTTACTTCATTTTAGTAACAATAACGAACTAACATGGCTTTCTGGTGTTGTGGAAGTAGTCTCGTTGCTCACTGTAGAAGAGCTTGAAATACCCCGCTTTCTTTTACTAACGCTAATATTAGTGTCAGACGTTGGATCTGACTTTCGCTTTTTTTTGTTTTCCCAAGATTCCCCCATTGTCTCTTGTTTGCACTCAACTTTTTCGGGTGATTCTTGTTTCACTGTGGTCACACCACCACTAGTATTTAGTCTTATTTTAAAACTTTCACTGTACTGTGGGCTAAGAGAGTCCGATTGCGTGATTTTTATATTTTCACTGGTCGAAGGAAGACTATTCAAAGAAGCACTCAAACTTGGTGGCGAACATGGTCCCATGTGATCCAGCGAATTCTCATTATTGTCCGAGCGCATCTTCTGTAGGTTAACTCGCCTATCCATACGCTCCAGCCTCAGCTTTAGCTGCAACAAAAATTAAAAACAATCAACGTTACGTTCTGTCATTTTTATCGATTTTTTTGAATACTTTAAAAATCTTTTCCATTCCATGCTTTATATTTTATCATGAGTGTTCAATTGAACGTTGACACGTTGTTATTTGAATGTCAAAATCATTCATTCATTTCATTGTAAAAAGCTCTAATTGGAAAACAAAAAAGTAATAAATTGCCATATTTTTCGTTTAAAAATTACATCGTTCAAAATATCAGCTGTCGCATTTTGTAAACAAACCCCCTCCCCCCATTCTCTTGTCGTAATGGCTGATCATTCGGCATCGTGAAAAATGAAAAAAAATCATAAACCAATTCGTACAACTCTGTGGTATCCCTGCAACATTTTGGCAGTTCGCTGATTAACGACAATCCGAGTGACGCGACAGTTCAAACTAGCCAGCATTTTTTTCTCGTCCATCAGAACTTTGCTGCATTCGCTTCGACCGCACAGCAGTCCCTTGGGAGTGTCCCCCGGCGGTGGTGTAACATCTACACTCCTCGGCGGCGAGTATTGGCGTCGTGGCGCCATGTCGGACCGTCGGACGTGCTTATAAGCCGCGTTTGACCTTGAATGCGTGCCTCCACCTCGCGGCCCTCGCGGGCACTAATTAACGGCAATTTCCACACGCAGAACGCAACCAAAGAGTGATTTCAAATTTTTCGCCTGTCATCAGCACACATTAAGTTGCAGAGCAATGAACGTTGTATCTTGGCCAACAAAGCGTCTTGCGAAACACACACATACGCGCGCGCGCACACATACACCGAGAAATGTCAAATAGCGGTGCTATTAAACAATATGGTCTTTTGGGGCGTGTTCCTCGAAAACAGATTAACCACAATTGGCGGGAAACACCCGGAATGCTCTGCTCATGGAAATAGCCACAACAGGACAACACCACGAAATATATCACACAACTGGCACACGGGGTACGAGTAACAGACGGCAGATATCACTGACATAACCGTAAAATTCGTAAAAATCACGGAACTGACGACGACAGTGACGACACAATAGCAAACGAAGACGAAAAAAAAGAGATAGATAACAAATGGATAACACTTTATCTATAATGCAATCGTGATGTTTCGGCGCGTGACACACCGTTAAACGAAACCACTGTAGCTTCTGTATCTAGCTCATCGTCAGCGTTTTCCTTTTGTTCTCTTTTCTTTTATACTTGATAGTTGATATCTTGATACACCTCGTACACCCGCCTCGATTTGCACACTGCACGTGAATACACGCACAAAATTAAATACCTTACTGCTTAAGTATATGCATAATTGCCGACTGCTGAAGTACACTTACAGATAATACCGGTCGTCCTCCCCCACCGTAAAACAAAAAAGTCCCTAGGGTACGAGCATACACTACGAGGTTACCAGCACTGGCGTGAGAAACTTCATACATAAATAACAGACCTATACTGGTGATATACTTCAAAAATGCGCCTGCTCCAAAAAGAAAGCTAACATTCATACTCTAATGTCGTTAAGCACTTCGGAATCTTTGGATTCGGAAGTCGAATACAACGCATACATACAAACAAACGTATGCGAAGGAGGATGTTACAAAAATACGAAAATCTAAAGCCGGCAGTTAAGTATTAATTGTAAGTATATAATTACAAAGTATGTAGAGGTAAGTAAAGTTGTGGAACAAAAAAAGATCACCCTGTATAGGTACACATGAGAAAACATGAATACCTACCGTTTCGTTTTCCTGTCTGAGGGCAGAGAGCAGTTTGTCCTTAGTGACAATTTGTTCGGACTGCTGCTGTATGAGATCCAGATGCAGCAGTAGCAGTTCCTTGAGATGCTTGACCTCGGTGAGGTCGTTCTGTCGAGCCTCGTTACCTCTCAATGGACTGACACCTAGGGCAGAGGTAGCCGTGGTAGGCACTCCGCCGTCGGTCATGCTAGCATACATGTGATCGAAATCGCACGGGTAGCCAAGTATACCCACGATCTTGGCTGCGCTGCCGCTGTTGTTCTCTTGCTCGCCAGCAAAGCTCACCTCCTGCAGCTTGTCCTGTTGGTGCTTTGACTGATGGAGGTTGTGGTTGTGGTGGTGATGATGATGATGATGATGAGGGTGATGATCCTTGAGCTTGTCCTTGACTACGCTCGTCGCCGTCGAACGTATGCTGTTCGTCGCCGACGATGACGACAGGTGCTCGTTCATCGCCGCCACCATGTTGCAGGTGACCACTCCAGCCTCGGACACCGGCGCCGCCTCGTCGCCGACCTTACCTGTTGTTCCATTTATTATTAGATCGTTGACTTAACTGATAACTTAACGGGGGAAATTTTTGTTGTTTTTGATGGTGTGTAGTATTATGCTCTGAGACAGCTGATGCAGAGAGACAGGTAGTAAACATAGCGCCGCGCACGAAGTAAACGGTGAGAGTAGAAATACAACAAATCTACAGTAAAGCTTCAACTACGATTGAAAATTAATGTGAAAAATTTAGTTAGCATAAAGAGTTAGTGCAGTTTTTTTACTTATTACAAAAGTTACACATAAAATTGGACAGATGAGAATGAGAGGGAGTGTATACAATGCAAAAGGTTATGTACGCGCTTGCATTCCGTTAAAATAGACATAATAATTATATGTTGCAGTTGTCTTACTTTCATTGTCTTATTGTTCACTTGTACTTGTTTCACGTCAACAATAACATAATTCAAGTGCATATTATTGCGAGTGTATTTTTTATTTCAACAATCACATACAGGCAACCGTTCACCACCGTTTGACTGGCAATGAAAAAGTAGACTGCTTTCTTATCGATTGGAAACAAAACAAATATATATATATATACTTTGCGTTGACAAAGTTGAACCGTAAATATAGTTGAACGTATATGTAAATATAAATAAAATATTATGAAAATTGAAAAGATAAAAAAACTTTACTGATTTTATATTTAGAGAGATTAAACAAACTTTTTTTGATATGCTTAAATTAGAGAACAAAATAGATGGAAAATGCGTAATGAGTGTACAGATAAGAAGGCCTGTATCTGGTAAATAAAGCAAACTTATCATATACAGATTTTTATGAACGCGCGTGTTTTGCCACCAGGGTACTTAGATAAGTAGAGCTAATCTGCGTTAAAAAAAAAAAAAATAATAATAATAATAAGATTGTTAACGACAAAACACTCCATTTTTTTTCGAGTACTATTGGAAAACATCTAGCAAGCAGTCACAACATAAATGACAAATCAAAATAAGTAACGAAAAAACACTTTCTGCAACGAGAATTTCAAAAAGAAATAAATAACAGTGCCGGTGTACACTATCCACATGTAATATAAACGAATGATTTAAAAGGGCAACACATCTGTGTGGTTTTAGTCGTACACCTTTAATATCAATAAAAAATATGTATGTCGATACAAAATGTAAACAATACTGACCGACAGGTGCCGTATTTACAAACAAATCAAAGCATGTATGTACACGTATTGCGTGTGCAGTGTTTTTTTTTTCATCATATCGCAGCCTGCCACTATAGGTATACCAGCAGCTACTTTGCTAATTTTTCCAGTCATCTCTGTGTAAGTTGAGTACATATACAGACATAAGTAAGAAAGAGTAAATCAAAACGAGGCAAAAAATGGACGCACGGAGAAGAAAAGACGATGGCAAACAAAGGAAACCTCGCTATTGTAATGTATGCATGGATTTACATTTATGGACCTAAGTACGGCCCTTATAGGGCTAAAAAGGGCATAAGCGAAAACGCACACAATCAGACGCAATCATACACCATCTATTTTACGTACACATTACCTATATTATACATATTTTTAACGCAAAAACTACTGCACTCAACATTGATCATTTACGTATTTGCATTAAATTTGCCACGAATCACCGTGTATGGTCTACCTATGTAGCTTACCGAAGTGCGTGTGGGCGAGGTCGAAGCCGTTAGTTCCGTTGCACCCGTTAACAGTGACTCCTGCAGAAGACGACAACGACGACGACGACGACGACGACGACGATAACGACAACAAAGAAGAAGAAGAAGATGAGCAACAGGAAGACAACGACGAGGAGACACCCGCACTAACGTAGTTCTCGCCGGGACCGGCTTGTAAAAGACGCCGATTGTTGCGGCCACCACTGCTATCAACAACAACAACACCCCCCGTACAATAAGCGGCTTCCGCCTGCGGTCCTCCGTACAAGCCGATGCTGTTTCTGGTGATGGTGGTGTTAATGGGCGCAGTCGCACTGGCACAGCCAATGACCGTAGCTGCGGTGGCCTCCCCGTTGTAGCCGTTCAGCTGCGAACTACCTCCTCCTGGCGCAGGGGAGTTCGCTGACATGCCGGCAATAATGAGCCTACGGGACTTACACCTCCTCCTCCTCGCCGCGATGGCCGACGACGAGGAAGGTGACAGCCGACGCCCGGAGGAACGGACGACGCCGCGACGCCTCGTTGCACGGGCATGGATATTGTCCTGGCGAATTCGCGGAAGTAAGGGTTGTTTGTTGCTCTCGATTACATGATAACACACCGAACACGAGACCACCACCTTATATTCGCGAAACGCGCGTCCCTTTTGCGCCGTGCACTAAGTACTGTTGTTCTCTCGTTATGCGTAGTTTACTTGTGTTGTATTTCGGTTGTTGTACCTATGAAGTTATTGATTATGCGTGGGATGCGCGATTGAGAGGTGCCGGAAATTCAAGAGTTTTTTCCGACACGAGCTGGGACACGGACACACGCGCGCGCGGCTTACCTATATTGTATTATCGGAGCAAGAGCGAGTGTGTGTGTGTGTGCGTGGCGTGGTGTGTGGTGCTATCTCTCTCTCTCTCTTCTTCCACGATGCCTCTCTATACTATTATCATTGCTTTATTTGTTTTTGTCATCGTCTTATTTATTATTTTTTTCTTAACGATGTTGTGGATAATTAATTTAATCAACTTTTTTATGTTTTACCAATTTTTATCAATTATATTAAGTATGGTAGAATCACTGATGCGGATGGTTGCACTGACACACGCTGTACACAAAGATTTTTACTATACTTACTCGCCGCATAATATATATTTTACACGTACTGGTACTATGTATACATGCAGTCGCGATAGCCGGTGTTTTGTTACACTTATTGATTAATTATTGTTATTGTTGGACAGTCTCCAATTTATTGAAATTCAACAATAAATAAGCGGACTTGATCACTCAGTTTAAAATAACACGGATGTAAAAAAATTGGATAGTTTAAAATAACACGGATGTAAAAAAATGAAACTATAATTTATAACGTAAAAAACACGCTAAAGACGTCAATTTTTCTTTATTTGTGAAAACATATTCGTACATAATGTTATGATCTTATACTTTTGAAATACCGCATTTCATTGGCGAAAAAATCTATTGCACGAATTTTCTCATACGCTTTCTTAAGAGTGTCGTAAATTATTTTACATATAACTGTAATCGAGAAGAAAATAACAACTCCTGCAGTTTTACGTTTATACATAGAAGTAACTAATTTCTCTATAGTTATCAAGTTAGTGTTATTCTTCACGTGATGTAGATTTTACTATATTAAAAATTTGATATAGGAGAAAGTATACTATGCGTGATTGTTTGTACAAAAATAATTTTCGAAGTGTATTGTAAGAATCGCCATGAAATTTTATGAGCTTCAATGCACGGCTTACAGGCTCTTTGGCAAAATGAAGCCGAATTTGACATTAATAACGGTGAACTCGTAGTTTATTTGTAGCTTCAACCGAAGCATAAGCAATATCTGAGTGTCAGAGGTTAAAACATAACTGTCGAAAGCACGATTGCTTCTCATAAGTATAGGTGCAGGAAATTACTTTGGGAGCAACATTTTATGTGTGACGCACCACATTGGAAATAGACAAAGTGTTGCCCCGGACAAGAAAAGTTATGAACTTTTGCATAAATAAAAACAAAATAGGTTGGATAAAACATTGACGCGCCAGTATATAGTGTTGAACGAAAGAAGTTGTCAGCATACTTTTTTCTTTACACCCCGAATAACTCCAATACAATTCAGTACACTGAGAAAAGTAAAAGATCGTAGTTAGCAACTTAATCAGAAACGTACCGTAATATTATGCTGTTTTTTTTCTAGGAGAGTGTGTAACAACAAACTTACCAAATGTTGATAGAAAACGTCACACTCGTTTATATTTAACGTCTTCGCACGTTAATTACAAACCTACGAGAATTTAATAGTTAAAGTACACCACGTTTATGTACTATCACCTTTCCTTTTCTCAGTGTACAGATTTTAGTGTACCATCGCCATCCTCCACACCAGACACCAGTACCTCATGTGCATGTCCTAGCTGTTATTAATCCTGTGTCATCCATAATCCATCTTACCACAATACCACTCCGCACAAGAGTAAAAGTATAATGTATAAATATATATGGATATACACAAATACCGAGAGAACGCGCGCGCAGGACGCAGGACTCCGGGTCCGGGACTCGGTATATACAATACCATATAATATACCCATACACCCACAGTAAGAAATATCCTGGCATGATATATATTATGTAGTAGGCAAGTAAATTTACAAAGCACTAAAGCATCACCTATAGAGAGAAAAGGCAGGGAAGAGAGACCAACATCAATAAATACATTAAACACTCGCAGTTAGTAATTGTCGGCAGATACAAGAAAAGAAAAGAATCATAAGAGAAAAAAATTAAATAAAAGCCTACAGAAACAAACAAACGAAACTGTATTAAAAGGCTTACGGTCAATATTTCCCGGATGCGTTCGGCTCGTCGGCGTTAATTGCTGATGGTCCGGGTCGACAGGTCGAGTCCTCGTGCTCCGGCTCCAGGTCAAAATAATCGGAGCCCTTGCTCTTGGCTCTTTACGAGTGGCCTTCTCCTTCCGCTGCCATTGACGGGATCGTCGGCGCCTCTGCAGCGACTTATCACCGCCACTGGCGCTAATAATATTATTATTCCTAATATTACAAGGCGATGAGGTTTCGACGGCAGCAACAACACCTCCTTCACCGGTGCCGCTGCCATCCGGTCCGGCTCCACCTCCTTTTTCTCCTTGTATCGGCTCCGTTTCTAAACGTGCGCACTTTTGCCGCGCACCAGCGTACTACATGCTATATTACCTTCTTTATACACGCACAATATGTATATGCACACATGACAACACAAAACACGAATTGGAGCTTACACAGCTCTGATTACTTTTTTTTCTCTCTCCTCCTTATTCTTCTCAACTGTACTTAAATATATATAGGTGAGTACAATATCCGACGCTGACTCTCTTCTCTCTTTCGTGCACCCTTTTCGCTTTTTTTCGGCTCTCGAGGGAATCGCGTGAACGATACAATACAAACAAGAGTGTGTGCCCGGGAAACTACACGCTGAGCGTCGGTTATTATTTATCTTCTTCGCTGTTTGCCCGAGAGTTTGGGCTGTTTGTCAATACATGGATTTCCTTAGACCGGTTGTTTCATTGTGTGGAGCTGCAAAGTAAAAAAACCAACTTACATCATAATATATACGAACTGCAAAACAAAGCAATCCACAACAGCACGCACTTCATAACGCATGAGGAAAAAAAAAAAAAAAAAAAAAAAAAAAAAAATGGAACGTGCCCAACACAAACGAGTAGGTATACACTATAAGCGAGCGTGTGTCTCTCTGCTGATGCGGCTGCACCCCCCCGATAGCTTACGAAAAGAAAAACGTAAAGGTTTTGCAGCCAAACAGTTTTGTTTATTCTTGATATAGTTACTTTACCTGCGTAATGTTGTTACAGAAGTAGGTATTTACGGCACGTTTTGCAGCGGGTTACGAACGCACTTGACTCCCTGACCGATAAATTTAAGCTCCACCTTCAACCCCCTCAATCATTTTTCACACACCTCCTACTGCACTTTTCCGCGCCACTCCAGTTTTCCAGTAGTCCACCTGCAGCATTTCGACCACTAAAAAACATATAGGTGTATACAAATATACATACGCACACTTGTTCTCTCTCTCTCTCTGACTCTCTCACTCTATCTGCTGAAAATCTCTCCTCACTCCCCATGTCGTGGTTCCCTCTTTTTTTTTCTCTTCAAAATAAAAAAAGTGTTCGAACGAGCGAGGCGCGCGCAGAGAGCAGCAGTTGAATGCGCGCGCACCTTCCTTAACAGCGGGAAAATTGAATTAGCCGGTAATGTTTCCTCGTACGATCGCAGCGACCAGAGCGTGTCGAGCCCCACGTGGATGCGTAGGTACACTTATATACAATGATTGCATGCTATCGCTGGTGTCATAGCGCGCGTTGTATTCACAGTCTTGTCGTTTTGTACCACATGTACGCCCAACATATATAACAGTAGTTACATAAATATGAATCCTTTCTAAGTATGGTCCTCTTTGCGATTCGATAACAAGATACACGGCAAAATATACCATAGAACCATTATACATATATACAAACAACTTGATTTTCAACTTCATGGAATAAGTGACAAGCTGTCAAAAGACTGGTAAGTATATTATTGTATGGATAAACTCATCAATCAAGCGTTCTCGTCTCTTGTATCTTGACAGTAGATTATTTTGGGGGGGGGGGGGGTTCAGGAAAACAATACCGCGCAATAACCCTAAGAGTCGAAGTACATTTGTTTGTTGGAACGAAGTTTCTTGGGAAATCAATATAATGTGCTGTAGTTCCTCTGGAACACTTGTTTCATACGTGACCAGTCTGCTTTGGAACTTCAAAAGAACTTGTTGAAAACCAATAGTTTAATAAAAAGTAACATTATTTTTTATCACTAAAATAATAATTAATCACATTTTACAAAAACCATCCATCACTTGAAGTAAGTAGCGGTAAACGTGTAAGTATATCTTCATAAGGAAATTACTTTTCATCTTCAGCTAAGTTTCCAAACTTGTTTTCAGCTAGAAGTTCTGATCGTTGCGATGCTCGCTAAATTTACATCAGGAAAAAAAACAAAAAACTTCAACGTTTCCCTCATGAACATATTCCACCATCATAATCGATTGTTCGGCTTCATAACGCCGAGTCTTAACGATACTTCAACTGAAAATAACAGCTTCAAGGGCTGGTTGTTTAGTTACTCTCGCACTGGGATGGCGTACAATGTTTTTTTACTTGCATCCTTCTTCACGGCACACTGTTTTTTCCTACGAGATTTTCTGAATGTCGGGGAAATCGACGAGCCTATTACCAAAGTTTACTTAAAAATTCGTAACGCACTACTTTTCGTGACGGTTAATTTTGTTTTAATTCAAAATATCGCTAAGCAAAAAACTTTTTTTGAAACTTTCGCTCAAATTGTTTCAGCCATGGAATCACTCAGAGGATTGAAACGTAACATAAACGCCGATGAACGAATAATCGAAGAAATGAAAAATATTTTTTTTACGTACATCAAGTACATTGTACACCTGTGTTTGTCGATTTTTTTCTTCTTTTATTTCTTCGATTGGAAAACCTCAGTACTTCTTTCAACGAGAAAATTTCATTTTGTGATGATAGATCTGATGGTGCTGCAGTACGCGTTCATTACTGTGATGATAAAATCGTTGTTTGAATCGATCAATCGTTATTCAAGAAACACCTTTGAAGAGGAAAAATTTGGTAACGTGAAAAATCCTGATTCGTTTGATCGTGAAAATTGGCTGACAATGTTAGAATTGCGAAACGTACACGTATCGCTAATCGAAGTATCGCGGGATGTAAAAGATTTGTACCCTTTGACGAAGTTTTTGTGCATCGCTGTATATTTTACATCTGTTTTCGGTTATTGTCATTACTTTGCGCACATCATCATGACAGATAATCGTATTTTGATCCCCGAATCGATGCTGTTTTTGATGTTTCTATTCAATGTCCTATTTATGGTCGTACTACTCAACAAAGCTGCTGGACCACCAATTGAAAAGGTGACATTGTATGACTGACTTTAATTTTTTTAATTTTATTACTCAAATTTTGCAAAACTTATACAAATTTATTTAATTACTGACAAAAACAGCTTAATAAATAATATAATTATAACAATATAAATTGCAAAACAATTAAAGGCAATCAAATTTGAAGATTTTATCGTTTTACTTTGGTATGAATTATTAATTGGATCGACAAATTACTTATCTGAACATTTTAAAATTACATTACAAAATTAAAAACACTAATGTATTAAAATAAAATAAAATCTTGCATTGTTTTTCAGATGATTAGAGCAACTACGGTGAATTTGATGATACTCGACCGTTTCGATTATTCTGATCACTTTATGATACAATAACTACTGATTATGTAATTTCCAACTAGTGATCAACGTAGTCGTCTATTTATGTAAATATTATTTTAAACTTTTATCGGATACTTTGTAATTTATCATGGTATATATCTGCTATAATATGAATAGTGAATTTTTAATCTTATAACTAATATATCTACGTGTCATTATAATATTTTAATCGAGGTCCTTGTAATTATGTACATTTCTGTATATATACTCTTGACAAGTTAAAATAAATTACTCAATGTATTGAAAGAAATTTTATGTATTTTTTTTCTGTAAATCACCAAGTTACTTCTTGTACGGGCTTTCTCTAATGTACCTTTGTATTGAAGGTATAATATTTATCATATTTCTGATGTTGAAAACTACGAACTCCTTGTACAGGTTTTATATAAATTGCATGACAACAACTAAGCTGATGTAGCTAAATAATTTAACTGTTATTTTTATTTAAAAATTAATAAAATAATAAATATTTATTAAATGTCAACTCCCTTCGTTTGAGTGTTATCGTCTAGATTTTAATGACCTAATAAAATACTTAATCGAAACACAATTACTATACGTAAAAAATTTTTATAACAGATTTCTGAAATAATTTTTATAACACAAAATAGACTGGGCGCACTGTATAAAAAAAAAAAAAAAAAAATTACACAGCGTGAGTATTCCACTGTTGCTTGTAATAACATAATATAAATAATAAAATTAGAATAGTATCAAAAAATAATACTTTTATCTTAATTCCCATTAAAATTTAAACATTGAGTTACGCAACCAGGCATCTCGTAAAAAGTAGTTGTAACAAAAAGTGAATGGTTAATTATCCAGCGTGGATTTGTATATTCAATTGAAAAAGTGGGACGAGAAAAGGAAGAGATAGCCCTGACGTACACGCTGTATTGACCGGTGATAGCAATCGAGCCCTCAGTTCCATTGTATTGGCTTTGATCGAATTTTATATGTAATGTATAAGCCTTTGCGCGTATGGGCAGATGTAAATTTTTTCTATAGTATGATTCCTTAGATATTTCACGTAAAGCTCCCAATTGAGTGTGAAAAAATGGTCACGAATTTTCTACGTTTTTTAGCCTTTCAAGTCCTGGAGATCAGGGAAAATTGTTTTAAAACTGATTGTCAAGTCGAATTCCAAGCTGCATAGGTAAAATAAGTTAGTTTTTGAAGCTTTACTTAAAAATAGCAATTGTTAAAGAGATGTTGAATTTAAAAGACAATACGAGGATAATGTTGAATAATTTTGTTTTCCTTATTTATTCAAATAACAATATATCAGCATCAAAAACCACATTGAATTTGCAGCGTAATATCTTGTTAACATATTTTATATGAATGACGCCGTGATACAATATAATACGTTTAACGCACGTTACAATATATATCTTACTTATGAATAACGTCGGTGACATAACGAAACATGCACGTGTCCTTTTTATAATGCAACAAACGATATCGATCTTCGTTAAGTTATTCGTGAAATCAACGGCGCGTTGTGCAGTTTTTACATTAATACGTGGTATACATTAATTGGATATGACGAAAGTTTTCTATAATTACTCGATTTTGCATAAACGTTGTTTTATCTACCACTACTACTATGATGTTTTCACTGATGCTGCGAATGATATTTTTTTTTTTTTTTTTTTTTTTACCAAATATGCGTCACACTTTTGATTAAAGTGCAATCGTATAGTTTGAAACAACATGGCGCAGACAGCTTACTAGTACTCGTACTGGTTTCGTAATATAAAAGTATGTTCTACAAACTAAATGCTAAAAATACGTGTTTAAAAAAAAAAAAAGTCGACGTTCGGGTATTCGATCTAAAAGAAGAACGAGAGTACAGATCAGCTTACTTTTATCGTTGAAACGAATAAAAAATTTGTTAAAACAACATTATTAATAAATCGTAAAAAAATTCAATTATTCATCATCTTTGAATAAAAAAATACACGGTCGATGGTTATTGTTAAACAATACAATGACCCCAAGTGCTGAATCTGTAAAAGATTAAAATCCTCTGTACTCGAGTTGTTCAAGGCTCTCTTTGCAAAAATTCGCCGTCTGAGAACTACTGAGATTCTGCTATTGATTATTCGCAGTTTTAAAAACTTAAAAACAGTTTGAGTATTATTTATCTTCGTAAGCCTGACTACGGAAAAAAATTATGTATACCTTCCTACTTTTTTTTTTTTTTACATCTCTGCATCTACATTGAACTATTATTCATGCATTGTTCAATTGATTTCCTGCATAGTGGTTTTTTCATATGTATTTTCATTTGTATATAGAAAACAGCGCTCTCACGTAGCTCATCTCAATTATAAATAACATTATAGACGAAGGGAAAAAGAAGGCGTGCCGATTTTTTACTCTCACGTCTTGGTCTCGACTTTTACATAACTTTGCTTCCTTCTTTCAAACGTATATAACTAAACAATACACATAGAAATATATATTTATGTAGAATTATTTAATCTATCTGGCTATACAATATTAAACTAAATGATTTTTTTTTTTTTTCATATTTACAATTATTATGACACGGACAACACACACAGTCTGACGAAAAAAATCACACTACCTTTTATTCGTGACTCGTTTCATATTTTCAAGTTGATCAAAGTATATAATAAGTATGGTCAAGTAAAAAATAATCGTTGCTGGAATACTGCGATTAATTTTTCCTTTAAACTGTCGACTTGATGGGATATGTTGCGAGTGGCGAATATTTACCGTTGCATGACGTGATGTGATTTTTTCTCGATTTATATAGGTTATGTAACAAAATATCCAGTATCTTTATACACCATTTTTATATGCTTACTTCGCACGGGACAAATTATTTCGACGAATGTTTTTGTCATTTTAGAATCAATCGAACAATACATCGATTCGATCCTGCTGTTCCACTTTTTATCGTTTAAAAAAACGATATATATTATATATATTTTATGATACATGTATACGAACATTTGTGGTTATGGTGATTCTGAAAAAATAATGAATTCTGAGACGTATATTTTTATACTTCGTTTTCTCTCAGACGTGATCAAAGGCTCGCTCTCGTGTAAAAAAATCTACATTTATACTCAAAGCATTCTCGTCGCCTTTGAAAATTAAAAAAAATAAAAATAATATAGTTTATGATACCCATAAGAAACCTTGTGTCAGCGGTGCATGTTCGAAAAAGATTTTTTTTTTAAACAGCTTTTTGCATTACAAAGCAATAAAAAAATTGTACAACATAATCAAATAAAAGACATTGACGTAGCCTTGTAAAACTATAGAGTTGTACTAAAAAGAAATAAAAATAAAAATTAGAAAAAAATTTTGATTATCGAAAGCTAATGCACTTTGAATTTTTTCCCCTAAAGTTTCGCCCACAACGGCTTTACCGCACAGCTCGCCCTTATTTTCTTTTATTATGTGCACGGACCCTCTTAAGCCACAGTCTTCAATGAATTTTTTCTCATACAAAAATAATTATATTATAATAGCGGTTATGGTACGCGACTCGCGACCTTCGATGTCCGATTCAGTACGTTTTTTGTGTGTGTATTATTATTATTATTATTATGAATGTAACTTATACACAATACGCGTGTAATATACAAATATACATAAAATTATCGGATATTCGAACAAGTACAGAAGTAGAGGATCTCACGTTGACACTCAAGTTGTAAAAGTGATGAGTCTATAACGCGAGCGGAAATTCAACACCAACCTCGGTGCAAGACTCGCGAATACATTTGGCAAAGACAAGGTGTTTCTACGGCTTTCATTCGATGTCGCGTTGAAGAAAACAAAAGAAATTACAAAAATCGGGACGTTTAAAAAAATTGGAAGATTATAACGTAATGGAACAACAAGTGGGGGTTTTATATTGTTTTTGCTGAAAAATTTTTGTCTATTGTTTTCTCTCGTGACTAGAGATTTGGAAAATCCACTTGAGCAACGCTTTGCCGTAAGCCGCTGTTAACAAAGAAGGGCCCCACCAGTGAGTCTGCCTTGGCGAAACTTTAATATTATATATTGTGACCATATTGAATTCATCCTGATACGATATACATTATACACATGCAATTGTATTTTTCACACATTCAACAGTATCAGAGTTATAAAAGAATCTGTTTCCCGGGCATCGCGGATGCTTTTCATCACGCGTCGACATAACCCTCATGACCATCCTATCTTTAATCAAACCTTGCTTATCTCGGGCGCACGGTGTCGGGAACAATATAGGAACTAAGTAATAGCTTATTAGTAACGTTGTTTTGTTTGTTAATCATTTTTATGCCATTGTTATCCGTCAATTGCTGCTACAACGATTGAATGATAAAAAAACCAAGAGTACAAATTTTCCAAAAGAAAGACGAAATTGACGGCGTTGACTCGTTTTCTTTATCTGGAACGCCATTCATCTCAGCAAAAAAAATAGTTCTTTACGTTTCGTATGCTTGTACATAGATGAAAATTACTTTCTTTTGGATAACTCGTGTCATGTGTGGGCAAAATATTACATTACGCACCTAGTGATTGAGGTTAAGAATGTCGTAGATTTCACGTAAATAAACGCCCGAGGCGAAGCCAAGGGCGGTTAACGTGGAATCTAGGGCATTTCTTAACCTCCGAACGCGGCGCGTATACGATTTTACGTGTCCTAGTGTCCGGGAAGTCAATATTACCGTCCGCGCAGCGGACTCGCGAATGTTCACTTCCCGAGCACCAGGCACGTAATTTGAGACCTGTTGTTTTAGAAGTGTGGGAAACGATTGATTCCCCGTTTAGCGCTTGCTCCCCTCATTGGTACGACTGCTGGCGGAACATGCTACTTATCTCTTCGATGGACTTGTTCCTTGTTTCTGGAACTTTGAACCAGATGAACGCAGAGAACAGCAACAGGATTACGGAGAACCCGAAGAACACGTTAGACTCGATTAATTCCTGCAGTGTTGGGAACGTGACGCTGACGATGAAGTTGGCGGCCCAATTGATAGCGATGGCCACTGATGTAGCGGTGGGACGTGCCGATTGGTTGAACAGTTCGGACACCAAGAACCAGGGAATGCTGCCCGCGCCAGAGGCAAATAGTACGATGAACAAATAGAGCAGCAGGATTGACATTGCCGAAGCCACATTGCTTCCCTGAAAAAGAAATAAAAATTGCTCAATTGTAAAACACATTGTCACCAAAATTAAAGGAGAGATTACGAATTGCCGATAAAGTAGATCACGTGTTCCCTTTTTCATGTTTAAACATACACTTCATACTTGTAAATAACTAAATTGCTAATAGTTTGAGGGTAGATCATAAACACAATTACTGCCATACAGTGAATAATATTATATTACGTCACTAGGGCGTAAAGTACAAACATGAGCGCCCGGTGTTAGTTTTCGTCAACAAATTATTTTATTGTTATAACGTACGTTATCAACAAATGGTGGTTCACTATGATTTTTACTGACCTTAAATGGAAGGCAGATCCCGAGTAAAGCGGTGTCGATGAACATGCCAAAGAAGCCGAACAACAGCAATGTTTTGCGACCAGCCTTCTCAACGAGAATCATAGAGACGAAGGTCATCAGAACGTTGACAACGTTGATGCCGATGGTCGCATACTGAGCTTGTTTCTCATTAAGCGCAGCCATTTCGAAGATTTGTGTAGAATAGAACATAATGGCGTTGATACCAGACAATTGTTGGGCCAACATAATCATTACGGAGATGAAAAGCGGGATTCGAAGCGAGGAGTTCATGACGAGCTCAGTTAGCGTGACCTGGGGTACCAGTTTGACAGACTCGTACTCGGCGCGCATCTCCTCCATCTCATCATGGACCTCAATAGTGCCTCGAAGCCACGTCAAAGCTAGAACAAGAAACGAGATATGAAATGGACTTTTTGCCAAAGAAACATTTAACTCAAATGCATACTAGTACAAGAGGCGAGCAAGTCTTACATCGTTGAGCATCCATGTCTTTGCCTTTGCTGAGCAAGAGGTATTTGGGGCTTTCGGGGCAAAAAGGTAGGGTGATGAGTTGAACGATAGCTGGTACGATGGTCATAGCCAGAAGCCAGGGCCAAAGGTCAGCTGTGCCCATGACATTTTGCATACCAAGTATCGTGGCTATCAGAATCGAAATCGTGATGACCAGTTGGTATACCGTGCCGACGGCACCTCGCAGGTGCATTGGCGATATTTCGGCTAGATACATGGGCGCCAGGCCTGCATTGAGGCCCGCGTTGATGCCAATGATAAACCGGCCGAGGATTAGCAGCTCGTAGTGACCCGTCGGCTTAGCCAAGGACTGGCAAATCACGGCCATAAAGACAAGCACATTGTTGAGTAGGAGGCTGCCCTTGCGACCGAAACGATTTGCAGCTGTGCCTACCAGGGCACCACCAATCATGCCACCCACGCAGAATATTGCCACAGTTATCGACCATATTCCGACTACAATTTTCTTAAGGTCTTCCGGGTCTAGTTCTTCGGTGCTTCCATTTATTTTTGTCTCCGAAATCCATTCCATGATAATCTAAAGAACGAGGTAAGTATGACAAAAATTCATATTTCGTTTGAATCACTCCAGTGAAATTTTTGAACTTTGTAATATACTGAATTTTTACCTTTTGTGGTGGGTTGACTACTCCGGTATTGTAGCCGTGCTGGAAGCCGGAACCTAATGCTGCAGCTCCGATAGAAAACGCCAAATGGGGGTTGAAACCCTACAAATAAAAGAAAATTACATAAATTAGTTTTGATGTTCAATACTTGGCATACAAAATACGTATACCGGCCGGTTTGAATTTACATGGGTTTTGTTCGTTCGGGGAATCACAAAGTTAAGTGTGTTCGGCTCTAATTGACGAATCGTAATGAACCATGTACGCAAGCCAATGTATTACGTATGTAGAATTCGGATTACATTCACTTTACGATTGAAAATTACTAGCTAATTTTTGTGGAAATGTATGCCAACTCCGAGTTCTGTTGCCAAGTGAATAGAAATAGACACGCCTATCTTAAACTAGTTTAGAATAAAAGTGATAAGGGATCTTACATGAGACTAAGGTCTTTCTTTGAAAAATGATTTCTTACCTTAATATGGTTTAAGTAAGTATAAAGTTTCTCTGTTCTAAAATTGTATTCTGTTAAGGTAGTTGTACATCAAAATTCAATAATTGTCGAAAAAAGTTATAGTCTTTGGTTAAATATAAGATAATTATTATGATTTTAATAAATGTTACTGTCACACGATTTTCGATTGTTTTTAAATTCATCTTAATTTATTTATAAACATATCATTGATATAGAAAAAAAATTTTATTCTTTAGTACAAACATTTTTTAAACTCAAATTATGATTTATTAAAGCAACAATACTATAGAAAATACCTATAAAATCGTGATGTTTCATCAGAATCATTTTCAAGTGTACATTTATACCTGCCTATCACATAAATTTTTATGTTCTGATAAAGTTCGGTTCAAGTTTAAATCTAATTGTACTATCAATAATCCTTTAGAGAAACTACAATAGAATTTCTGGACCAAACAATATTTTTAAAAATATTTAACGTACTTGTACAGTTAGGATGAATAATTTTTGTTTTCTTTTTTTTGTGTAATATTGTTGTGAAGCCAATAGTAGAATTTGGATTTTTTATTAATCAATTTTTATCGATAACCACAAGTAAAAAATAAAAACATATCTATGGATCATTTAAATGAAACACCAATCTTTTTTATAAAATTTTATTTTGATTCAGTTTGTTGTATCACTACCACTTAGTTAGAAGAGTCATTTATAAATATCCTTACTTTTCCGACATTTCATATCCATCAGGAATATTTGAAATGATTATCGTAGAACTAATGTGAATCCACTTCTCAACTAGAAATTTTTTTAAAGAACTAACAACAAGTTGATAAAACAAAACCATTTAGTTCACTCATTATCAGTCGAATGAAAAAAAAATTCAACCTTACGATTAATATTTATTAAACTTCTCCTCAGCTAAGGCTATCCGTTTATTATCCACCGCATAAAAATACATTTTTTCCCCTTCACCGTCAGGAACGCATCTAAAAAATACAAACTAGTTTATTTCGCATGTATTATCGTCGCTTGAAACATAATTCATTAAATTTATCAACTTATCGCTGTTACGTTAAAAAATTTCTTCGTTTTTCAATGTACTCTTTCATATGCAGTGGCAAGCGCATGTTATCTCAAAATAAAAGCCATCGTCGAAGTTCGATTCGTACTCCCCTTTGACTAATAAAAACTCTAAAAATGATGTATCTTCAGTGAAAAAAAAAAATCAAATGGAATTCAAATAAATTAATACAACAATGAGCATCGAGTCGTAAAAAATACCGCGTATCTCTGCGCGACGGTGCAGATAAAAGCCGTTCAAAGAATCGAGCGCACATGACCTTTTGCCTTGACACAGCAAATAAAGCCATACAACATAAACGACATCGACATGTTTGTGTACTCGCAGGGAGGGATGTATTTTTTATGCTCACGTAGAAAACGTATATATAAATACACGGACAAGAAGGAAAGCGTACGTCTAAAATCGATTGTCTTCAACATTACCATTTTCCTGATGTATACAACCGTCGGAAGGCCGATGAACCGTGAAAAATGAAAATACATGCGCATCTTGCCATGCAATTATTATTAATCAGAAAAATATTATAAAAATTATTATCATCACAATCATTACTATTGTTATGCCCTTTGATGTATATGAATTTTTAATTAAAATTAAGGACTGGTAAAAGAAACCATAACTACGAGGATGGCTATTTGTTTATAAAAATATTGTGCATCGATTGAAAAGAGAATTATGTGTTTTTTAAATATATTTATACACACGTGCATATGATATATTGCATTGTAAATGTTGTAAACGTACTAAAAATTGTGTGATTCGACCAAACCAAATTTGTTAATGTATATCAGCACTGTTCTAAAAATAATATCGTCCACCGATACCTACATATTATTAATATTCCCCATCCTGGAATTTTAGTTTAAATTATGTCACCTACAATACTATAAAAAAAGGGGGGAAAAAAAATTAAGTTTTATTATAAAAAACAATAAAAACCAAATTGTCCCACATTAACACGTATTACAATTTTCTGAAAAGAAATCGAAACGATAAATTTGACTTAAACCCATGTAACACGCCCTACCTTGTACATATGTCATTTTTTCCAACGTTAGCCCCTAACTCATCCGTCGAAAATTTGCGTCAAAGAGCTCTGCCTATAAATATGTACATTACACCGATTAAATAAAGAGATATTGCACTCGTATGGAGAGTCAAACGAGTAAAATAAAAAAAACGACCAATTCACACGGATTCCAGTGCCAACGTAAGTGTAATGGGGTATCGCGTAAACGTGTGTGATGTATAAATTGGTGCTCGAGGAAAAAAAAAAATGCTCGACGTCGATCGTTCGATGACGACACACGTAAGTATGCATACATAATATAAACAAATACGTATATAAGTCTGGGTGTGTGTGGATACGTATGGTACGAGCCTCCTGTGCAACCAACCAACGCCAAGAGAGAGAATTGAATATCAGAGGCTCGCGCCTGCGAGGAGGAGTCATAATACTCATACCTGATGCTAAGTGTGCAGTTGTATAGTTTTGTGTAATGCTCATGTGGGTTGTACCTATCATCTCAAATAACGTAAAGTCATCTTTATCCCCCTCGGGTGTGCATTGCAGGTGTGTATGTGTCTGTGGTATCACGTCGAGCGTGTCTAAATTACTATACTTATATTACTCGTTTGTTCTTTTTTTTCCGTCATTTTTCGCTTATTGGCCTTTTTTTACGTTCGCGTCTTTACTACGTTCGTTTTTATTTTTGATATACGGGGATGTGAGCTTTTTAGGTCGACGTGGGTCGCGGATGATGTATTTTTGTACCTACCCACGATGCGGTTTTTTTTTTAACTTTGGTTTTTGTACTTCTACTTATGTACTTACGAAGATTTTGAAATTGCAGTAGAATTGTTTTGGAATTTTGGACATTTTGCTTTGTTACATGAATGAAAAATCGAATGTCATAATGTAACGTGTTACAGTTTTTTTTTTTTTTTTTTTTTTTTTGCAACCAAAGTACATTTTAATATATATAATCACCCACCATAGAACCATTATACATATATACAAACAACTTGATTTTCAACTTCATGGAATAAGTGACAAGCTGTCAAAAGACTGGTAAGTATATTATTGTATGGATAAACTCATCAATCAAGCGTTCTCGTCTCTTGTATCTTGACAGTAGATTATTTTGGGGGG